CAAGGGCAGGATGGCCTGAGAAGGAACACACATGGCACAAGCCTGGGCATTAAAATATTCTCCTGAGGGTACTATGAATGAAAAACAAAGTGACAGGTATACAACTGATTTTGCAGACAAGTTGTATTCAAATCCTACTATACTTTTGTTAGTTTTATTATTAATGATGGCTATTAGGAGAGGAATGAAAGGAGAAACATATCTGTGCCTACTGTATTCAAACCAAATTTTCTGGCATGCCCTTGGTAGTGAGCCTCCCAGTGACTTATTTGCCTACCAGTGACATTGGTCCTTGTTGTGGATCTTTATTACAGCTCTAGTGTGTGTGCTGCTGAAGCCAGCCCTGTTATTGCTCTAAGATGGAGGGGGTCGGATGGGCAGGATAGGTTTCAGACAAAGTAAGGAAAGCTGTGCTCAGAGAGACAAGGCAAAGCTACCCCGGAAGCACAGCTCGGGCCTTAGCGTTCTCTCTGCTCATGCTGGTCCATGCAGGAGGCCACCTTGGCATCAGCCAGATTTGGCAGGAGGTTGGATCAAGGCTATTTGAGTACTATTTTCAAGACAATGTATTAGTTTTATCTACCCATAAAAAAGGAGGAAGAGATCATTGCAATCATGCAGAAAATGTATTACAAAAAAAGGAAGAATTGGGCATGGTGGCTCACAGCTATAATTCCAGCAAATGGGAGGCTGAGACAGGAGAATTTTTACAAGTTTGAGCCCAGCCTAGGCCACAAAGTGAGCTGAAGGCTAGCCTGAACTGCATAGTGAGACCCTTTCTCAAAAAGATAAAAGAAAGTACGGAAGGAAGGGAGTAGGAGGAGGAGGAGGAGGAGGAGGAGAAAAAGAAGGAGGAGGAGGAAAGAAAGAAAGAAGACAAAAGTATTGGTTTTAAATAAGTACAAATTTTATTTTCTGTAAAGTGTGATAAAGACATCTTTACAAAAGATACTTTAATGTTTTCCTGAAGGGTTAAAGCTTTCACTTGTGTATTTCAAGCTCTAATGACACAACACAGACAGACCTCACCATAGCTCAGTGACAGTACCAGGCACGGCCCATCGTATAGAAAGTCATTCCATCTCCACAAAAGCCCTATGAAGTGGGGTCCTAGGCTTGGAGACATCACATGTCCGGAGCAATTTCTCACGGTCAGTGAGTGACAAAGCTCAACCTCATAATCAGAGGCCGTGATTCACAGTGCGTGGAAATATCCCAACATTTTAACCAGAACTGGCAGTTGTCTTTGAAATGCTTCTAATAATAGTCCCCTGGTTATTTCTACTTCTCATTGACTTGGTATCATGCAGGCCCTTCAGCAATATGATACAGATAAATATTTCCTTTTCAAAACATTGCACAAATACATGATTTCCTCTCTTTCCATCATGTAGGAACAGTGCGGGGAAAGCCAGTTAACAGGAATTTACCTCCAAGCAGTAAAACCTTCCTGTCCATTGCGCAATTCACAAAGAGAGTCTCTAGTTACCAAGGAGACCATAACAGACTCCATTAGATTCAAGTACAACACTTGAGTTGCCTGGCAAGTGAATGCCAAAAACCCAAAGGAAAATATTATCGCAGTTTAAATCATTTGATGACTAAAACATGTTGGCAAATTGAATTTTTCAAACTGCCCAAAGGACCTGGTTAAACTCTGAATTAATAGCATACAGTGGTTCTGTCTGGAGACAAGGGAAAAAGGCAACAATATTAAATTCTTTTTTAAAGTATTTGAATAACTGAAAAGTCGCAGTAGAAAGCTCAGACAAACAATTGAGGCCTTTTACTCAATTTTAACTTAAATTTAACTTTATGCTCCCCTTTCTCTATAGCTAAATAAAGTTCAAAGAGGCCCACAAGCTTTCTATCTGATTTCTTATGAATAGTAGAATTATGTTTAAGGTCTCCCTGACAACATATCAACCCCAGGAAATTCAAGGGCTGAGCATGGGGGTGGAGGTCAAGCCAGACGGAAAGAATTAGATGCGGTCAAACATCCACATGCCTCTTGACCTGGGTCCCAGAGGCAATAGTGGCCCTGACCACAGCATTCACCCAGTCTCTGTCTGATCATTGCTAGAGCAAAAGGTCTTTGCCAGGACCCATCCTATCCCGAGCTCGATCTGAATGAGCTCTGACTATTGGAGGGTGATTTCTCAGAGTGCTGAAACCTGCCTCCTCAAGATTTCTACCCACTGATCTTGTGGTATCAGTAGAACAATACCTTTTGACTCAACTTCCTCTCAGCCGGCATAGTTCCTTATGTAACTGAAGTCAGTTTTCATGACTGACCTATGTACTGTCTTCTTAAAAACCAAATAAATATCCTCAATCTCCCTATAGACCACAGGGCAAAAGTACAAATATTACAACAATAAGAAGAGATAAAACATACAATTAGTAATAAAGAAAGACAAAAAGGTAGTCTGGAAATTATATTTTTTTAAAAAGTTAAAATTTCTTAAAGGAAATGTTGAGAGACTCTGGTAATTCAGAATGAAAGCTTAGCTCTAGGTTTAGTCGAAGGCTCTAACACACACACACATACACGAACACACACATAAATACACATACCCATACACACATGCACGCACACACACATATACACACATGCACACACACACATACATACACATACACACATATACACAAATACATACAGGCACACATACAAACATACACGCACACACACACACTCACATACACATAGGTTGAATGTTCTCAACTGACACTAAGAGGCACTGGGTTTGTTCCGTAGAGTCCTGAACTCTGTCAAACCATCCTGTCAAAATGGAAATGTAGACCAGAAAAGTTAGAGAGACCATGCCAGCGCTTAGTGATGGCTCAACAACACTCATCATCGGCACAGTCTGTGCCTAGATTCAAGAATGTGACTGTCACTATTATGAAATAAGGAATATTGTAAGGAAAGTGAAACTTCAATTCTTCCTCCCCCTGATACCTTAGTGTGAAAAGGACAGGGGGAGTAATTTTATAGCAAGCACCATACAGTCAAACAATTCTATGATTAGCATTTCGCTGTCTTCAGTGGTCTCATATCTACTTCTTTCTCTATTTGTGTATCAGTCTGGCTTTTTTCTTTGTACCAGAAATCAAACTCAGGGCCTTGTGCCTGCTTCCTCCTATTTTCTGTCCTTAAAGTTCTAAGTGGTAAAAGACAAGTGCAAAACTCTGAATGTGGAACAGTATTAAAATACCTTCAGACACCAAGCATGGTGGCACTGTAATCTCAGCACTGGGGAGGCTGAGGCAAGAGGATTGCCATGAGTTCTAAGGGCAGCCTGGACTACACAGTGAGACTGTCTCAAATACATACAGACAGACAGACATAGCATCAGAAGAGGTCACTGATGACCACCCAGAGCTACTGGCCTAGAATGGACATGGTCCTCAGGAACAAGCTGACCCAAACCATCTCACAAAAGAGGAAGATTTGGGTTAACACGACAATTTAATAATTCACTGTGAGAAACACAGCGATCAAATGACTAAACATGGTTCCGATCACTCAGTCTCTGCCTGAACTAATTTACATGGCTGCCCAAAGGATGAAGGTTTTTAGTGAATGGAGACCAGAATGAAGGAAATTTGAGGGTTTTAGGCCTGAAGACAGAGATCTTATCAATCTTGATGCTTCAAAGCCAGCCAAGAGGTGCCTGACACCTAGGGAATTCTAACTACCAACCCAGGAGAACTGTTGAGAGGAACAGGCACCCAGGCTTGGTCAAGACATTGTGCACCTGGTCTGTGGAGGAGGAGCCCTCCAACCTCCTGGGAAGTTGCTTGACTGCCACCCTCCTGAATAACACATTCCCTTTTGGCCATGTTTACCATCCCGTGTTAGATCTAGAAGACAGTCTTTCTCTCCCCCACGCCCACTGCTGGGGAGTCTATCCCCAGAATCCACACACATGCTAGGCAAATGCTCAGCCACTGAGCCACATCCCTAGTCCAGCAACCTGTCTTTAAAATGGGAGGTCCCTGACTGTCTAATCTCATTTTTGATAAATTGATTTTATTGGCTTTCCACAAAAAAGAGAGTGGTTTTCCAGCACCAGAGTACACACAGGCCACAGAAGAACAAGCACATCCCTAGTGAGCAAAACGTGTTTCCTTTTCTATCTCGGGAGTTATATCTGGCAAGCAATGTTAGCCGTTCATTGTCTGGGCTAATTACAAGCCCACAAAGGCCTGGCGAGGTGAGCACTCCGCTGGGAAGGCAGCGACCCAAAAGCAACACAAAGATACAGATGCCACACTTGTCCCAACAGACAGCTTCTCCAGCAGTGGTGGAGAATCCAATTTTGACAAATCAAATCCCCTTTGAAATCTGTGAAAGGAGCTTTCTATCAAGTCCCAAAGTGAATCCTTAGGTTATGTAACAACTACCTAATGTTTAGATTTTAAAGTAAGATTATTTTAATAGCAAAGTTTTCCTGTCCTCTACTCCATGAGAACAAGTCTTACCCTAGAACATAGTCTTTACAAAGCTACCGTAATAAATATCTATAAACGTCATCATTTCATGGTAAGAATATACTCTTTAGAGTTTGATTGCAAGTAATATTCAAATATGGGGGTAACTCAGAATTAAGGCTTTACTTCACATGAGTCTACCTAGAGACTAGGAAAAACTCCAAAATTCTAACCATTTTAGGTGTCAGCACCTCAGTGATCAATGCCAACCGATAACTAGAATTTCTCTCTAATTGTCTCTGTTATAAAAGTCCAATCCACAGGGTTCCAATTCACATTAAAAACTTTCCAGAGGCTGCAAGATCTTATGATGGAGGCAGTGGATTTTTATTGCTGAAGGTTAAAATATTCTGAAGACATACACGCTGTCCCAGCTGGGACAGCTCCTCTGAGCCGGGCTCCAAAGACAGTGTTGGTTCATCCCTTAAGAATCCCTTTTATTCCTTTGATGCACCTGCCTCTAGTAATGGAAACTTTGTTTTGCTCTGTTTTTTTTAAAGAAACTAAAGCACCAAAAAACAGTGAAAAAGTTACAAATCGATTTGGCAACAACAAAGCAAGAGGCTGCCATCACAGTGCTGGAACTCAACGAGAAGATAAAGACGCTCTGCGAAAGAGAGCCAGCCCCTAGAGGTCAGTATCACCACGTGACAGCCGCGCTGGCCCCTCACCCTGGCGGCATCCCCCAGCTCCACCAGGCGAGATCTGACAGGCAAGTGCCTGCTGGCTTGGCCCAACCCGGTCAGGGATGAATGGAGGCAGCAGGAGAACTGCCAGTCACAGCCTGGGCTCCCTTTCACCTTAGAGGGCCGGAGGGTGGATAAGTGCATTCAGGAGAAACCTCTCGGGGTGAAGGGCTGGACTGAAATAGACTTGGCAAGTGTCACTGGACCAGGTGGATGGCAATGAGGGAAAGACAGAGCCTTAGAAGGAAGGAAGGCCTGACACTTTGAGGCATGGACGGGGCTCTCGAGTGGAACCAGGAGCTTGTTCAAAAGCGCAGGCTGGAGTGCCCCTGGCTCCACTCTAGAGTGTGACTTATATCTGCCTCTAATAAACCCTTCTCAGATCTCTTTTTAAAAAATACAAGCTGGTAAGGCCGACAAGGAGGAGATGAGATTCTTACCAAGGGATGAATGAGCCAGAAACCAAGCAGGGTAGTTCAGATAAATTTAATAGCTGTTTTGGTTTTGAATTTTTTAAAAAATGCTTTGTTACTAAGAGGCTCTAAATATACTTAAGGGGAAATCCTTCCAGTTGTCATTAGCAGTAATACAAGTTAACATTTAATACTGTGTGCCGGGCATTTTGCTAAGCCTTTCACCTTTGCATGGTTCTCAAAACAACCTCTCTAAGGTAAGCGCATTTATGGAATCTATAAGAATAAACGGAGGCTTAGAGACATTCACTGGTTTGCCAGAGTTTGACAGGAACGCATGCATAGCATAATCTAGCTCACCGGCAGCCAGAGCAGCTGTATGGCACTCAGTGACCTCCTGCAGGCTGTGACTCCCCAGGATAAATGTCTTCCTTTGATGTATGCCACTCTCAAAAAGCCAGGGGAACGTCATTGTCCCTATTCTGGCTTCCTTTATTATTCATATACAGTCTGGAAAAAGAGGAGCCACTTGGAAACAATCAGAGGAGGAAGACGTAGGCGATGTTGTGGCTTCAGGAAGGGGACATTCCCAGCATAGTGACTAAATGGTAAAGCTTGTCGCATGAATTTGATTTTTGTTTTCAATTTTGAATAGAGTTTTTTTGGTGCTCATATGACATGTAACACTGTCACCTTGAAGAATATACAGAAGGTCGGTCAAACATCAAAAACAGTTTCCAAATTTATTTTTAGCACCACAAAAGCTAAGCAAGTAAGTTCCACTAGGGATTATTAAGAAATTACTATCCTTGTAAAGGTCTTTAAGACATCAGAGCCAGATTTCAATTGATTGCATAGGAAGAAGCTGACAATGATCCTTACACAAGCTGGAGAAATTTCTCCTGATCGCTTGATAGAAGCTTAAAAGTTCTCTGCTGTGTTAAAAATAGTTTGAAAAATAGTATAACAAAGTATCCAATTATAATTGCTTTCATTTTTGACAAAAACAAATCACTGTCCCATAACAACTGGTCTCAGATATTTTGATAGATCAAAATTTAATTACTGAGATCCCAGAACATTAATGGATTAGGAGAGGCAGAACATAATAAATTCCATCTTTCTTTCTTTTAAAAAAAGAAGAAGAAGAAAAAGAAGAACTACCAGAAAGAAGGCAGAAAGTGGGATGTTCTTATGCACAGAAAAAGTGAAATTTAAACATAATATCATTCTAAGATGTGTTATGGGTCCAAATAGTGAACCCACTTTTAGACACATACATTGCTTCTCTTCTGTAAGGAGAAAGTTAGTTACTGAATCAACTCTGCTCAAATGTCTTAAGTCAAGTATTTGAGTATTTGTACATTCCTTGTCTTCTACAGCCCCAGGCAGCCTTAACCTGAGTGCATTAGTCTTAGAGACTGTCAGGGTCATTCTGGTCCCAGAATAATGTTAGTCGATGTTCTTGGGGATGTTGGCTCCTTTGCCAACATCTCATATCACTTCAGAATTGAACCCTGAAAAGATATTCAGTGACGTTAACACACAATGGTCCTTATATAACCACAGAACAATGAGGGCTGACCCACCCCAACACATGTATTTCTGAACCTAAAACACCACCCTTCCTCTAGTTATCTGTGTCCTTTGTTTGTGGTTCTCAGACCTAGTTTAAAGAGAAGGGATAATTGGCACGTGTAAGAAAGGACACACTGTTAGCGTCCAGCAGATTCGGGTTCCCAGGCACCACTGGCACCTTATCACTCATCCTACTGCTCTTTGCATCGAGACTCCCCTCTATTAAACTTATTTTTTGCTTTCTGTTTTTTTACAAACATAGTGAGCTGTTTTATTAGCAATGTGCTTAAATTACTTCCAAGGAAGTAAAGGATTTATGTCCATGGAAAGTTCAGCTGAAAAGGGAAACATCCTCATTATAAAACCAATATACCAGGAAACTTGCAGCCTGAGTGTTGTTTGTTGATTTTACTTTGTGCAAATAATCACAAACCAAAGCAGATTCCTTCTAGCTGCACTTAGAGTTTTATTCACTGGTAGAATTAGCTAAAAATACTTATTATACATCTTTTAGAAGTTTGGTAAATCTCAGCATACATGGCTAAAATTTAAAGAATCCTTTGTGTTAAGAGAACCAAGTTACTTTGCAAAAGACCTTTATATCCTGTTGTTAGTGTAAGAATAGTTGTCTGATAATGATGCAAGCTCCTGCCTTGATCACAATATAGATCTCAAGCTAGTAGACCTCAGGGAAGATACCTTTTCTATTTCCTTAATATGCACAACTACTTAATAAGGTTTCTACTCCTGATTTTCCAGTTCCCATTGACTCAATGAAAGTTCTATCATCTCTTGCTTTTATTCCCACTAAGGAAGGAGACACTTCTCAAGTATGCTGGTACATCCCAGAGCAGACATATCTAAGGCTCACTGTTAGAAGACAGCCAGGCACATTTTGGAGGAGAACTTGTACTAGAATAAATATATCATTGATTTTTTTTTTTCAGTAACACAAGACTGTATTTAAACACTGGGCAACTTACCCACTAATTTTAGGAATCACATTATTGCTTTCTTTCTTCAAAAAAATCAGGAGATACCTCATGCCAACACGCAGAAATAACTGCAAACAATATTTTTAAAGGTTTTTTTTTTTCAGTTATAATACCCCTGCCCAGGTGCTCTGACTAAGCCAGCTCTTGTAGTATTTTTACCTACCTTGGTGCAGACTTCACAACCCAAGTTCCCAATGCATAGAAGCAGGAGCTTGGGGATGAGGAAAATGTCCTATACTGTACAGACATGTGTTGTGTAGCACTGATAATATAAAGCACTTTAAAATGATTTATTTTACAAATTAAATGATTAACATGGTAAATTCTATAATTATACAATTGGTATAATTCTACATTTGGTAGAAATTCTACAAATGGTAAATTCTATAATTCTATAATTATTATGACCAACAACCCTAGCAGAAAAGTATAAGTGTATTTTAAAGAAAGTACATTAGGCCAACAGAAAATTTGGACTTACCGAAATTCCCAACATTGAGACAGAGATCATTTTCATATTTGTTGGAGTGGGGCGTCTGCCTGCTTCTGCAGCACACAGACTAAAATTGCAGTGCGGTCAGACCTGAGTCCCTGCCCATTTGTGAGTAGACTGCTTTTGAACAATGCCACCCTATCCTTCATCTCTATAAAATTCACAATTACTTGACCAGTGGTTCTACATGTGACCTTCTTTCACGCCGAACATGGATATTTATTTCGCCTTTCTCCCCTGTACTTCATAGAAAGTAACAAGGCCAGCCCTGGAATCTCACTGCCTCAACAGCTAGAGCTTTGGCAAACAGTGCTGCTCACTACTCACATCATCAGACCACGCAGCACGATACTTAGTCACAAGCAAAACAGCAAGCCTGTTGGTGCCAAGGGTGTCATGACTGGGACAGAAAATGACAGGACTGAAAGATAACAAAAGAAGATGCCTCTCCCCCCAGGAAGCACTATCTCACCATTAGCAGAAAACTATTTTACATCACTATTACTGAATCCTCAGATATAGATGCTACTCTCAGGTGGGATAATTTACACATAGACCAATAAGCAGCAACAACTGACTCCTGGGAAAAGGGACAAGCACGTGCCTGACAACTGCAAGGCAAACTTTCTAAATACGGGTTCCTGAGGAGTTTAGTATTTGCTTCACAGAATTAACTTTTATTTACCTTTTTAATATGTAGGTCTTACTCAGAGATTGCTTGGCAGGTTGTCTCTTCCACTGTCCATGGGGGATTTTTTCTGGAATAGATCTACACTAACCCAAGCCAAAGCCTTATCATTGATTTTAGGACTTGAGGTTAAGAATCTGCTCCAAGAGTCCTTGAAGCTTGGGGTTCTGTGGCAGAGAAAATATCAAGAAATGTTGTTTTTTCCACTGTCTGTACTGTAGTTTTATGCATTCATGATGCACAATTTTAAGGGATTTCTAGTCTTCAAGGGGACATTTGGGAGACTTGTAGGCCTCAAAAGCACTGAAGTAAAACTAATCATTTATTACAACTCTTTTGGTTGGAAATGACAGAAACCAAAACGAAACTCATTGAAACAGGAAGGAATTCATTAGCTGCTGAATCTGAACTACAGGATTTCCAGCTACTGGCTTGGCTGTCTTGTCTTTCGTCTCCATTCGGGTGATCCCAGGCACAGGTTGGGCAAGGGTCCCTGGCTCACAGACTGGAACAGCCATCTGCTGTTTCTTCTGCTATCCCCTGCAGTCTCATGGGACTGTCAGTCAAGGTCCCTTCCCCCTTTGCCCAAGAGAAGGCCTATGATTAGCAGAGCCAATCGCACTTGTTTTTGCCCTGGAAATTTGAAGCTTGAGCTAACCTAAGGAAGGCAAAAAAAAAAAAAAAAAAACCAGCTGCTTCATCTCAGAGGCCAGCTTCAGGCCCCTGAGGAAATCATGTTTTGGGTTTTGGTACCTATTTCCCTAAAGGCTGACTTCATGA